GTCTTGCTCTCTTTTACCCAGAACCCCTGGACTGCCGATCACTGGGGCAATGAAGTTCTTCTCCAGCTAGCATCAGCTGCTCTTCAGTCTCCTGACAGGCGTGAACCCGGTCTGTCTCCTTGCCTAAGCTCCCCAGGACTCACACCGGCTGGCTACACTTGCTGTCTGCCACTCCCTCCTGAGAGCCCTTGCTGGGCTGTTCCCAAGGCTGCTCTCATCTCCTCAGCTCTCGTCACCTCCTGCCTCCCAGGGCCTCACTCAAGGTCTGCAACCCACTTATCCGTCATCAGGAGCTCAGAATCAATGTCTTTGGGTTAACTGTAGGTCTGCAAAATTCATTTTCTCCCTTTAAAACTTTGCAACATTCCTGAAACATTCAACCATTGCAGAGCATGATTTAAATGCCATAAAAATGTTTCTTTATGAGATCATTTCTATATTAAACTATAATAACCTTGGCAGCCACACTGGTTGAAATAAACATTCAAAATCAAATAAAGGAAGAAGACTTAAAGAAACCCCAGAGTCCCACTCAGATCGGCCTTCAGGCAGATAGGCTTCTCCAGGGGACTTACAGAATTAACACTAGACAATGCTTTGAAGAAACCAGATTACTGTGAACTCACTAATCACTAAATTATTGTTGACACAGACTTCTTAGCTGCTTTCATGTGGATGAGGTATTTCAGACTAAACAGACTGTTAAGAAATCATAGAATGGCCTGAGTTAAAATAGTGATCTTAATTTATACAAATTTCCCTCAAAATGGTTATTGTATTTTTAACTAAACACTATCCACACCTTTCACCAAGATTTCAGGAGAGATAGGATGCTCAAATTACTCACCTGCTCAACCAGTTTCCTATCAAGAGCATTATCTGGGTGACCAGAGACGCATCCCAGCAAACCCATCGTGGGGCTCCTCCTTGAGATTTAGAATGTTTCTCAGCAACACTTTCTCCAGACAGGAACATTCCAGAAAGGAAGGTAACCAGCACTGGAGAGACAGGGCAGTGTTAAATGGGCAACTGAGTGACAATGTCTGAGTTTCCTGCTAGTAGGTTAATTTACCAGTATCCTAGGCACACTTTAACCACAAGGAAAGACAAAGACAGTCAGTTATAGTTATTGGAGGAAAAACGAAATGGATGGAAAAAAAGGAGCCACTGCTCGTCCTGTCAGCAGGCCCACATGGGGTGCCCATCCACACTCCCTCAGTTTTATTCCAGGGATTCACCTTCAAAGCAGAGCCCATGCCCTAATAAATTCATCCTGACCTGTTTCAGCACATCCCCAACAAGGAAAGGTATGGAGGGCCAGGTTAGGCAAGAAGCATAAAATTTCAGAGCCTCTTTTCAAAGAAGAGTTCTTCTAGGCTAAATCAATCCAGGCTCTTTCCTCCGGCTGCTCACTCATTAGAAATAGTTATTTAGAGCAATAAAATCCCAACAGTTAAGCAGCTTTTACGTCAGAGAACCAGGGCCTGGCTCTGGCAAAGTTCAGAAAGAACAGCAATAAAATCATAATGCATACCTCACTCAACACCAGAGGGAGTTTTAAAGACAAACAGGGAGAGGAAAATCACACATATCAAATAAAAAGGTCACTTTATCATCAGGGCAAAGCCAAATTACACTAAAAATGTGAGAGAGGGGACCCCAGGGCACTAGAGTCCAAAGTACCAGGGAGTAAGGAAGCGCTATGGGTACACTGTGCCAAGCCACACAGGAGAAGGGCTCAGCAGGCAAAACATACGGCAGGCATGCAGGCAGCAGGGGTATGCCAGGCAGTCAGGAAGAGGGACACGAGTCAGTCAGCAGAGGAAAACACCGAGGGGACGCGTAGACAGGAGTAAAGGCACACAGCCAGGAGAAACTGAAAACCGCAGCATCCCAGTGATGCTGAGGCAGCAACAGGACTCGTCTCCTTGGCTTGAGAAAAAGGGAGAAAGAGCAAGTCCATAGCTATGCTGGAACACACCTAGAAATTTCTCATTCAAGATAGCAAATTGAACAACTGAATATTAATTATTTCTTTCCTCTCCAAGATCCACTAAGATGATGAAATATAAACAAAATTATAAAAAGACTTACAGCAATGCTTGACAGTTGGTGAATAGGTGCATCAACTGACAAAAAGCTTGGAGGAATTTTCCAGAATCTCTAAATCCAATGGGAACAAACTGATGGGAAAATGATCACTAGTGAGAAACTCATGTCCCATGCAGGCAGCAGCCTTGCTAAGGAGCAAGGGCACAGATCAGGTAGAGCCCAACATCCCAGCCAGGAGCAGTGCCTGAAGAAAGTACAGGGCATGGTGCAATCATGGGTCATAGTGCTGATGCATGTGACAGCACAGGTTGTACAAGGCACTGTAGTCCAAGAAGGTGCTCTGAGAAAAAAGGCAGATTCCTGAGGGAGATCTGAGAGCTGGAGAGAGGAATAGGAGGATCCAGAAAGCTGCAGGCCCAAACAAACAACCACATAGTCAGAAGAGAAGTGAAAGCCCTGCCCTCACCAGCTATACCTGTGAAAGCCCTGCCCTCACCAGCTATACCTGTCATCATAGTCTCCCTCACTGAGAGACAAAGAATGGAGGAGGGTCAGCAGATGACAACAATGCATATGTAGCCTGACACAAGGGGGCACAACAAGCCCAGGCAGGCCAGTAATAAAAATAAATGTGAATGGCTAAAATTCCTCATGTAAAAAGCAAAGACTCAGCTTCCTGCTGTTTATAGAAATAAGCCTTAGAGAAAGTGGTCTGAAAGAGCTAAAGATAAGTGGATGAGGAAATATTTGCTAGCCAAAGGAAACCAAGGGAGGAAATATCTTACGAAACAGAATAAACTTGTAGGCACAGAAACATTAACCAAAGAGAAATATATTGTATTTAGATAACAGACCTGTTCTACCAAAAGAATAGTAATTAATTTTTAAGCACTGAAATATATAAAGCAAAAATGTTAATAATGTAAAAATATTACAAACTATAATCACAATAGAAAAAGTAATTTATCCCAGAAATTGAACAAACAAGAAAATGAGTAAAGTTATGCTGATTGAAATAACTCAAGTGAGTTAATAGCTACGTAAAATCACATATAAAGTAAGCATACACATACTTCTATATATAAGTATGTAAAATATATATGAATGAGAGAACTTTAAATACAATACTAATATACAGATATAGACTTCTCTTTAGACCAATAATAATAATAAAGCATACTTTCTCTTCAAATGCCTGGGTAGCATGTACAAAATTTGATTACGTCTATACCAGGTCATACAAAAATATGCATCCCCATTTAAAACAGTCATGTGAACTCAAGCAATAATTTTCCTCTAGCATGCTGACAAAAATGAAATACAATGAAGCTACCCTGTGATTGACAAAGTGTTAGTGAAGAAAAACATGCATCCTTATAAACTGCAGTTAGGAAGATCAGTTGAGACAAGGTTTCTGGAGCAATGTGACAGTAAATCTAATGATGTTTTAAGTATACATGTTCACTGACCCAGCTTCCACTTCCTGGAATTTGTCCAGCTGAGATACTTATAGAAGTGTACAAAATATATGTATAATAATTGCTTGATACCAATTTGGAACTGTTATAAATAGTGCTACAACCACATTAATACACATTAACAAGCTATTAAGAAGAGTAAGATTTATACACATACTGACATTGAAAGATGCTCAAAATACATTCAAATGGACAAAACATAAAAGAATCTCACATATAAAATCACACTCTACTAAATGTTTATACACATAACACTATATTTATATACAGGAAAAGCATACTCCCACCCCAACAGCAGGCCACTCTGAGAGCAGGAGGGAAAGATCCAGGCACCACTCAATGTCTACTTTATACACTTCAATCCATAGTGCTTAATTTTTTTCTTACAATGATCATAAACCATTCTTTACATCAATTAATGCATGAGCAATTTTAATCAATAAAACCTCCATGTCTAAATAAAACCTGGAATGCTGCCCTCTGGAGCTTTTCGACAAAGCTGACCCCACCCAAGCTAAGACAGTGGGAACGTTCTGGGCAATCTCAAAGAGAGTGATGCAGACCCAAAGGCTCTGCTTCTGCTCTAAGGCTAACAAAGACTCAGATGCCTTGAGCATCTGTCCAGTAGCTACCACCTTCCCTCTCATGTGGATGCAGACAGAGGCCAACATCTAAGAGCCCCTAAATGCCAGGATGTGCTGGAAGTAGCAGGATGCCCATACCTGTTAGGCAGGATGGTGGCAGAGCTCTTCAGGTTTTATTATGAAGTATGTATAGTTACTTTCCAAGGACATTAAGTGGGTCCCTAAATGTGTCCCTAACATGCTTCTGATACTCAGAGCAGGACACGCTTGGTTTCCAAGACCATACAGTTAGCATTAACAAGCTCTCTGACCTCTGACAAGTTACTCCTTCCCACCAGGTCTGGTATTATCTGGTGCTGTTACGAAGACTAAACGGTTATAAAATGCTTAGCACAACACCTAATAAAAGCACGCAAACACCATGAGCTACCGTCACTACCACCTGTGAGTGGGAACATATGCTTCTTTCCAGATTTAGCCCAGAGGTCCAATCACAAGAGCACTACCACCCCTCAAATCACCCCCTAATAAAAAACAAAGAAACTGGGCAAGGAATTAACTCTTCAAATCACACACTGACCTTTAACTGCTAAAGAGCAATTCTTTTGTCCTAGCATCAAAGAAACCTGTGTGCCACTCAAGTTGGCCTACAAATTGGAGCCAAAGACTTTACTCCAAATCCTCTGAGGTCTCTATCAGTCCTTCTTTCACTGAGAGGAAGAACAAACAATCTACTTTGCACTTGGTGCTGTCACAAACCAACAGTGACCATTATCAAGAAAAACAAAAGTCTCAAATCCAGTAAGCAAGCCGTAGTCACAGGAAATCTGACTTCTGTAAAAGAAAGCCCAGCTGTTTTTCAGAGAAGGAAGGACCGAGGCCTTACCCGGATGGCTTTGGGAGCTCATTGCTAGCAGCGTCTACTCCTTTAAGCGATTCAAAATGGCTCAAAATTTCCACGTAAACAATAGCTCCAAAGAGCTCCAAACTTCCACCAACACATACAAGTAGAAAATGGGGCAGGTTGGATCACAGTCGTGTAAACACCGAGCCTCACTGGCAAGGTCTTATGAACCAAGTAATCCACAAGGAGAGGAGAGGGCTTCCACTGGCTTTCCAAAGATGAACCTACAAGGTTAGAAAAAAAAGAGACTTGAATTACAGTGTGAAAGTTTTATCTGGAGAGTAATATTTAACTGAGTAAAAAAAATAAATCATTTACTCCTGTTACTAGGGATTGATAAAAACAATTCATATGAAATCATTTCTATGAGTATCAACCAGTTGGGATTTTTGTTAGTAAATCACATATGTATGACATAAAAATGTCTCTGGAGAGCAGAATTTCTCAACCTCAGCACCATTGACATTTTGGGGTGGCTATTTTGTTGTTGAGGTGTCGGGGGCTGCCCCACGTATTATAAGATATTTAGCACATCCCTGCCCTTCACCCACTAGATGCCAGTAGCACCCCTGAAGTCATGACAACCAAAAATGTCTCCAGGGTGTGACAAATGTCCCCAGGGAGCCAAAATCACCCCCTGGTTGAAAATCTCAGATCTAGAGGCACCATCGTTATCACTTGTACAAGTTACCCCATCATTAGGCTTTTGAAAAGCAACAGAATATCCTCCAATATAAATGTGTTCTAAATTACATTATCTTGTGAAATAAATACGAAAGAAAACATTTTAAAAGAAAAGTCACTTTCAGTCCAGTCCCACCACACATTTTGTCATTTCTGCACACTCGCATCCAGCCTACATACACAGACATCTGTATTCATAATGTCTGTGCAATCATAGAACTGAATTCTAAATTCTGCTCTCCTCATGCAACAGTATACCTTAAATAATTCCCCATGTTTCTGTCTTCATAATTACCATTTTCTCAGGGTGTGTTTTTTTTTTGTTTTTTTTTTCATTTTCTGATGCTCATCACAGGCAAGTATTTTAAAAGTCACCCATGATGCCATCACACAATGGAGGAACTTGGTAGTATCTGACATGTTTCTTTGCCATTGTTTTTCTTTCACTTTGGCCTATACAACCTGCTAACTATACTGTTGTCTATTATATTCTCTGTGCTGATATTACAGTCAGGTATTTTCCAATGTCATTAACTACGCATGGTGAGCATTGTTTTGAAGGGCTGTTTCCTATTCCATGCATGACAGACAGCATGCCCAGTCCCACTTCAGGAGGTTCTTCAGATGAGCCTGTTGGTCTCAGGGCACTGCCCAGACCAAGGGCTGGTATGTGACACCAGCTAAGCTCATCAGATTCCCTCCCCAAAACCTGACTCGTCAATAGATCACAGTCACTAAATAGAAGAGCCCCAAAGAGACAAGAACTCCCACACTGAGAATCCCTGACTGACCTGGTTCAAGGGTTTTTGGAGGCTTCTGTGTTCATCTCTTCTGTAAGAATATGACAGATTCCTTTTCTTAATTAAGTTGTTTTAGATTTTTTCCCCCAAATTGCTTATAACCAAAGAACCTTAACTAATACATCATGTAAAGAAGTATTCCCCTAAGGTTGGTTATTTAGGTGGTTTCCGCTTTTACATTATTATGTGCAACTCTATGATTAATATCTTCATGACTACTGTCCTGTAGCTAGATACTTCCTTAGAAGGAAGAGTGACTTATTTATCTTCAGGTTCAGAATTTGTATTCAGCTTTTGATCAAAATGAAACATCATTTTCTTGAAGGGAATGTACATGGTATATTTTGAAAACCCTGGCAAATCTCATATGACTCTGTATCCTTCACACAAAAACCATACCTTGGCTGGGTATAAAAGTCTTAGAGCACAAACACTCGCCCTCAAAATCTTTAAACAATGTTCTACTCTCAGCATTGTAAAGAATTCTAAGTATAGCTTAACTGCAGTTCCTTTCTAGGTAGAACTTCAGAGCCTAAGTTTTAATGTTGTGGTGGTTGTCATTTTCATCTGCCTGAATTCTGCTAGCACGTTTCTTCTTTAATCTTAAAATTTTTAAATGCTATCAGAAGACCTACAGTAAGAGTCTCTTCATTTATTTTGCTTAAAATAAGACCCTTTCAATATATTATAGGTCTTCTTTCTGCTAAGGAAAATGCTCTTCAATTATGTCTTTATTATTTTTGTTAAACTTGTTCTGGCTTCTTCAGAGATTCCTGTGCTATTTAGCTGGAATCTCTCCATCAGATCTGGCCTCTCTCACCGTTGACACATCTGTTGTTTATTCTGCATTCCCAGGCAGCCTCTCAAGTATGTTCTTCACATCACTGCTGCTATTTTCCACAATATCCGTTTTATTCTTTATGGCTTTGAATACAGATT